CAAACTGAAAAACAATCCTAATCCTCACTTTGGCTGAATTATGTACATTAAGCCTCGTTCCTACAATTCGATCCAGATAGACGGCCTGCTGTATCAGCATTTACAGCCATCAGTGGCACTTTGCAGATGTGTATTATCCATTTACAATTACCCCAGGTTGGGAACTTCATAAAAGTACACGCTAATCTTCAGAAAAAAGAACATTTTGCATTGTATGGGTGTGGCGCTTAACACGATCTTCATTTGTTTATACTTGAGGAAATAGTACTATAGTGTTAGGATAACATCGCGACTCGTATTGGAAATAGAATAAAATATCTGAATTATTGTATCAGCTGTTGTATTATTACTTAGTATTTTGAAAGCATCCATGAATAATGGACAAAGCTGGGAAGCTGTGCTCTCTGTGAGGTACCTCTTTCAAGTATAGGAGCTGGCACAGGACCCTGCAGGGGTGGTTATGCCCTGCCAATGCGTAAGTTGCAGAGAGGGTAAGATGGGAGCCCAGCGTGCTAGTCTGAGATGCAAAATGTGAGACCGGACAGATCAGCTTTCCCCTCCCTCCAGCAGGTCCCCAGTTAAGGCCTCCGATGATACGCATGTTCTGTGTGTGCCAGTACCACTCCGGGGATGGCACTATGCTAGGGAACACCTCACGTTTAAATACCAGCCAGGGTAGAGATTTCTCAGCACCAGGAAGGCCCAAGCCTACTCTCTACAGAAATATGACTAACACAAACAAGATCACTCAGTGCCAAAGCTCCCCTTTTGACTTCCCTAATTTAGTGCAGTTAATCTTTAGGCAAAACTAAGCACTACATTTTGTCTCTCTTGCAGACATTCTGACTACTCTGCTTCTCTTCCAGCGTTATAATAAGTCAAGTACACTCTAATCATCATCATGAACACTTCTAACACTGCTGTTCCTCAATCTAGCTATACCTAAATATAGTTCAACATCAACCAGCTAGGCTACACTTAGATTTCTGGTTATCCAAACCAAAGATTTATTCCTGAGCCATGTTTATTAATGAGAATGCCTTGATTACCCAGATATATTTCTCCATCCCTCATGATGTTTAGATAATGATGTTGGCTTTATTATCTCTTACAGACTAGTTATTCTACAGCGAGATATGTCCCCAATAAACAGTTGGCATTACTGCAAACAATTGTCTTACATGAAATTAAAGTACACTTTGGGAAACATAAAAATATCACGGTGAGTGAAACCCTGTTATTAATGTTTGGCTTTCCATCAATTTTATCAAGAAAATGCCCTAGAGAACATAAGAAGTTACTGGAAGTCACTCAGTTGCATGACATGCGGTTTCAGCAGAAGACAGTAACCGCAGCTGCAAGGCTCCGGGCTCAGAGTGGGAAAGCCTCGGTGGAGAAACGGTGACCTCTACAGGCTCCTCACTCCCCCGGCCACATCACCTCACGTGTTGCTTTAACAATATGCGAGGTGTCGTTTGGGTTGCTTTCATCTTTCAGAAATTAAAATAGAAAATTAAATGTATATTTGATGATGACATAGCTAGAAAACATGGGCACGTGTTAATTTAAGAAATAAATGTTCATCTTTGAGAAGTCAGAAAACAATACTTCAAAGGACAAAAACTTCAAAGCACTCTATAACTTCAAAGCACTGCACCAAAATTAATAAACACTTAGGACATGTCTGTGAGGTAGAAGAAAATTTCCTTTTTTAATGCTTGTGTAAACAGGGCACAGAGATTAAGTGATTTGCCCAAGGACACAAGTTCGTAGCAAAAATTGAGATTGCATGTCAGAAATAACTGGCTCAAGCCTCCTTTCTCAGACCAGCTACAGCTGGGTTAAAAGAGTGAGGAGATGGCTCCCTATATGGACACTTATTCAGCAGAGGCCAAACCAGCGATCTTTCCTATCAATAGCATCACCGGCCCTTTTTAAGCTCTGCTCTAAACTCTACCATGTTGTTTTCAGCTGATATCCTCCCACAAAGTCAGTGCCGAGTATACCGAATTAAGGTAATCTCACATATACAGAGAGTCTTACTTCTGCATTTAACAATGATACTAGAGCTTAAGTGGTCTATGTGAACATTTTCAGTATGTCTATGTCATGACAATCTACTCACTACAGGCTTCTTGACAACACACAATTAAAACACAATCAGCACACCTACAACGTGAAGTTTCTCTGATGACACTATTGAAGCTGAACCTGCACTAGTACCAATCAGAATTTTTTACTATGTCCTTCTAGAGTAAAACATAAAATTTCCTCAATGCATATAAGCTGATCTGCTGTATATCCATGCTGCTGAACACAAAGATCCTTAAGTGCTATCTGACAAAGAAGACAGAAGCAAACCCCATCGTTTTCTTTTCAAAATAACCTAATAAAGAACGGTCGTTGGACACGTGGAGCTAAAGAAGCCAGGAGAAATAAAAGCGGCTTGTGAAGTACTTAGCAAGAAAAAAAAAATCACCCTATGCCCCTCAGACAACAAATAAATGTAAAAGATAACAAAGAAGGCCAAAGATTTGCCTCTTCCTCTCTCCAACTTATTTCTTTTCTTAGATCTTTAGTAATACTAAATTTTGGCATTGTTATTTTTAATGAAGAACTTCCTGATGATCCCACATGTTTGTGGTCTCATGCACTTAATTAAAGGAGAATAGGTGTGGAACCTTACTATTTTTCCCTTCTCTAAAACATTTATACATCAAATAAATAGACTTAATAAGTTTAAAAGATATAAACAAAAAGCATGCTTTCAAATAGCCAATTCTGAATCTCTTTTCTTCTCAACTGTTTGGGGTTTTAATCTTTTTGTGAAGTTATTGTTGGAACAAAGGCTTAATTCTAAAAGTAGTTAAAATACTAATTAAAAAATAAAGGCTTCTAAAACATAATTTCTAAAAATGAATCCAAACAAGCGGCTTCCAAAATTTTCTTGTCAAAATTGGTTTAAGACAGAATTTCCTCGTAAGTCACATACATATAATGAAGAACTTTTTTTTCAAATGCATAATTATATTTTGAAGACTGTGTTTTGCATCTAGTAACAAGTAATTTGCTGCATATTATTTTCCCAAAACAAAGTCCCACAGTGGCTCTGAAAGAGATGCTGCCTACATATATTGTTCAAATGTTCCTCCTCAAGGCCAGTGAGGAGTACTGCACCCTTTCATTTGTAGTGTTTATTAGTAAAATTTCTGTATTCAGCACACTGGGAAATTACTGCCGTATAATAGACTCTTAAAGAATATCACAATTTCTGTTTTTAAATTTTTCAGGAGTTCCAAAAATTATTGTGCTGTCTATATTAACAATATTGCTCAGCACTCACCTAGCATTTTCCATTGCCAGAACTCAAAACTTTCCTCTGAAGGTAATCAAGTATTGCTATCTCTATTTTGCAAGGGAGCAATAATAATGATGACATAAGGATCCCATTTCACCAGACATTAATTAAGGACTATTAATTTACTCAAGACACAGATAGATCTTCAGTACTTTGTTAAGTCAACTCTGAAGACTAAATAATTTGCAGATCACAGACTGAGTCATTAGCAGATTTGGGAACACAATTCAGACCTCCTGACTCCCTTCAATAAACCATAGTTTTCCGTGTTATGTGTTAACAATCATTAACTAAATGACAAAGGTTTTGCTATTCTTGGTGTAGTGCCCTTCTTTGCATTTCAGAGGAATTATTGGGCTCTTAAATTGGCTGTCAAATTTGCTGACTTGGTTAACTGGCTGGCTTTCAAAATATATATTAAAAGTCTTGCCTTTCCTGGCTATTTCTTCAATAAATCTTTTTTTTTTTAATAGAATAAGCTTTGCGATCTTATAAAACTAAACTCAACAGAAAAAAATTTAAAATCCTATCAGTCACATTGTACATACTATTAAATAAAATACATGCAAAGGCAGCAGGACCCAACAGAAAGGGCACTGAACTAAGAAACAGATGGCAAAATTTCCCATTTGCTTAAATAAGGTCAAGCTTTCAGCTTTTCCGCTTATTTTACTGCTAGCTCTTACAGAACTCTGTAATCTCAATTTCTCTCTCAGTTGGTTTCAAAATGCGTAGATGATTATTATTTTATTTCCTTCTCTCCATAAGGAATTTTAACACCAATAAGTTAAATTAATTACAGCTAGATTCAAAGGTCCTACACCCATACTGAAGACTATACATATTCACAGATTTGAAGCTCTATTTAATTATACTTTAAATGTTGCATACTGAATCACACGCCTTGATCCACCTCATGTAAGAGAATTAAGGTCCAGACAGACTCCAGGTTACAGCAGGAATGACAAGCTAAATAGCCTTTAAGTTAAATATACCTCACAGACTGAAGTTGTAACTCATATTAGAAAGGCTGGATCACTTTTTATAACTAGCTGCTTATACAGTTTATTTTTATCTAGGTCTTTATGTTTTTATTTCATTGTGCTTTCACCTACGTAGCTGGCAATGTGTACTCTTTCATTTAAGATCATACAAGCTATGTAATCATGGCAACAGTAACTATGCTGTGAATTTTCTTTTGTCATGTTTAATAGACTGGTCATTTAGGCACCTACAAAAAATAGCTTGGCCAGAGGAACAGAGGAACTCGATAAACAAGTATCTTCTCTTCAAGTATCAGATTCACAGAAGTAGTATTTTCTCTCTAATTATGCATAAAAAATCTGGAAGAAGTCTTCCAAGTGGAGTATCTTTACATATCACAGATTTTTGTTTTGTTCCTAAACTTCACTTGTTGCTAAGGCATAACAGAGAAGATCAAAGGACTTCTAACAACTAGAAAACCAAAGGTGAGGGAGTTTTGATTTCCTTCTCATTCTTTAAAGATTTATCACTAAACTACAATGGTTGCTGGTTCATAGTTCTATGAAAAGAATGTGTGAAATGATGTGAGTCTGCTTTGCTATTTCATATTTAACTTCAAACATCAAACAACAGCTCAATTCACTTTTTCATTATCAACATGATCATGCACTCAACTAGCCTGTTTACAAATCCATACGCATTTGAAGTCCTAAGGACTAAAAAAGAAGAGCTAGTAGAAGGCATAAACGACCCAGAGCATCTTCTGAACCTGCTGATAGACAATGGTATTTTTACCCCAGAAAAAAAGATCGTCATGAGTTTCTACAGGACACGAACAGAAAAGAACTCTCGAGTTTTAGACATACTAATTTCTCAAGGTGAACGAGCCTGCAGGCTCTTTTTTTATCCATGTTTAAAGCAAGTGGAGCCAAAACTTTATAGCAAGATAAGAAAATACATCAGTGAAGTAAATGAAAGCATTGGAGATGCTAGAAGACAATTGGTAGGATATTTACTCGAAAAAGACAAAATGTGGTTTGAAAATAGCGGTGAACGGCAAGAGGAAAAAAAAGACAGTCCTAGAAGAAAAGAGCAAGAATGGGATATTAAGAAGAAAGGAAAAGAAACTCAACTTTCAAGAGCGGCAAAACCTAGAAAAGATTATTCTGATGTTGGCATCTTTCATGCAGTTGCTAAAAGCTATCTTTCTGAGTTAGAGAAAACATTGAAAGATAATGATATTAATGCACTAAACTCTTCAAGTGAAACACTTCTACATGTTGCAGCCGCTAATGGACATCTAACGATAATGGAATATTTGATCAGCAAAGGTGCAAAGATAGATGTGAAGGACAAGAAAGGAAGAACAGCACTGCACAGGGCTGCTGAGAAAGGCCATCGTGATGCAGTGAAAGTGCTTCTCCAATGCGGTGCTTATATGTACAGTTTGGATATGGAAGGCAAGACACCACTTCATTTGGCTGCACAGGATAACCACAGTCACATATTGAAGATGCTCCTGAAAGAAGAGGCAAGAAGCTACAGGAACCAGCACAACTTTTTGCACAGGGCAGTTCTTAAAGATGAGAGCAGTCTGGCAAAAATGCTTTTAAAGGCAGATGCCTCCACTGATGGGAAGGATGAAAGAGGACAGACTGCTCTCAGTTATGCTGTTTCTCAAGGGTCTGAAAATACTGCAAAAGTACTGCTAGAAGCCGGAGCCAGAGTTGATTCCAACATGGCCAAAAGAGCCTTCAACAGCAACCACCCATCCATCTTCAAAATACTGCTAGAATATTCTAAAGATTTGTCATCTGACATAATGGAGTCAGCTCTTTTTAGAACTGTACAGAAAAATCTGCATGGTATTGTAGCAGCTTTGGTTGACAGAGGTACAGATATAAATGCCTACAATGAAATGCAGTACACTCCTCTACTCCTGGCATGTGAAACAGGCAAAGCTGAATCAGCAGAAGTTCTAATCGAAAAGGGAGCAAACTTTGGAATAAAGACTCCTGCTTCAGACACAGCTTTGCATTTGGCAGTTCAAGCCGGGGCTGCTTCCATCGCAAATCTGCTTCTGCGCAAAGGGATGGAAGTTAACCTTATGAACCAAGCCGATGAAACCCCACTCCATGTTGCTGCACTTCATAATAAAGGAGCATTAGTTGGCCTTTTAGTTAATGCTGGGGCCAAAATTAATGCTGCCACTAAAGAGTTTGTTACTCCCCTGCATATTGCAAGTCGAAGAGGTAACACTGATGTTGCCCAACAGCTGTTGCACCACAAAGCCAATGTTAATGTTAAGGATAAGCAGTCAAAATCACCTTTACATTTTGCTGCTGAAAGGGGAGACAAAACAATGGTAGAGATGCTTCTGAACGCTAATGCTGACCCCAACGCACAAGACAAGGAGAAAAAGACTCCCCTGCACACTGCAGCTGTGAGAGGACATCTCAGTATCGTGAAGGTTCTGTTACCTAAAAAAGGAAGATCTGGAGCTAAGGACATGGATGGATGTACTCCGTTGCACTATGTGGCCATCAAAGGAAACACAGAGATCGTAAAAATTCTTCTGACATCAGGGAAAAATAAAAATATTGATGATAGAAACATTTGGAGAAAGACCGCACTGCATATTGCAGTGGAATATGGACACAGCGACTTGATAAATGTATTACTGAACCACAGGGCAGACATTAATGCTTTAGAGAGCAGCAAGGATACTCCATTGCCCTGTGCGTGCAAAGCTGGTCATTTTAATGCCACAAATTCCCTCGTAAACTGGTCACAAGGGGAAAAAACAAATTTACTAGCTGCTAATAGTCTCAGAAAGACCCCATTGCAAGTCACAGAATTTAATAAAACAGAAAATCAGGCTCAAATTGTAACACTTTTGAAGAAGAAAATGTTAATAACAAAATGAAGATGTAAACCAAAAACTTCTAAATTTAAATGCAGAATTCTCTTTTAATGTGATTTGGATAGTGCTATTGCCCAGTATGATTGAGAATTATGTTAGGGCAGGCAGAATTAAGTTAGCAATCAAAGGTGGCTGTGGGGAAAAAAATGGATCTTAAAGACACTGTTAAACTTCTAAGTATTGATTAGTCTTTTGCTTCTCTCACAAATCTCATACTTGGAACCTATTTAAAAAGCACCAGTCTTAAACATATTGTGTATGACCTCCTCTAGTATAAATCAAGACTTCAAAAAAAGATAGAAAATAACTTTTCATATATCTGTGAATATTAGCCTCTATGGACAGCTTAGTTAAGCATTGTTTGGTAAAATCACATTTTTTAAAAGCTATCTATTATGAATAAGACGACATCTGTATCCTCAAGGATATAAAGCATAGAGATGTTGGAGTAGATAACGCTAGTTTTGTTTAGCTTAGGCAGACCTAACTGCAGAGCGCTGCCAAGAGATTGATCTGCCCTCCCTTTCAGTCCAGTCATGCATGCCTGTTCCAGGTTGTATGTGTGAGCTGATCCAACTTATTCCACAGCTATAACCGAACAATAGGGAGAAGCAGGGTAGCAAACAGCTGAACAGCACTGGCTCTCCTGAGAGTAATGTAGTATTAGTTTGGTTTATGCTGATTACAGTATTGCTCTCTGAGCTAACTGGAGACCAGAAGGCGTCTCTCTGCAAATTTACTAGTGTGGGGTTGCTCTACTCTAGATTTACTAGACCCACTCCCCATGCTAATAAATCCTATCAAGAGGCCTGGTATAAAACAACCAGAGGATTAGAACGTGCCCAAAACTTTCCTAACACAATGATGTTGTTTTCAGGACACTATTATGTGCTACATTGACATTCAATATTGGGCTGGACCCTCTTTGGACATTTCTATATTATACCCTATGATATAGCATTGACAGATCCCGAGACTATAACAATTATTTTTCTTTCTATCTTTCATGATACCATTTGTCTAGATTTCATATTTTTAAGTAGAGATAATGAAAACAATCATTTTTTGTTTATTAATTTCACTTTCAAATCAATTCCAGCACAAAGATGAAATGTTCGGAATAAAAAGATTGCAACAGAGTTTATTGGTTCAAAATATTTGTATTGTCATCTCTTAAAACAGAAACACTTTCTTGAGTCGACGGAATTTCTATACAGTGATAATCAACCCTCGCGGTTCTTCACACTTCCCTTCAGTATATGATTAGATGCCCAATTACCATGAAGGGACAAACACTTCTTGTGAAATGAAACACAGATTTAAGAACGCATGGGAATAAAACTGTGACTTTTATAGCCATGTTACAACACAACCCGCACAACACCCTGCTGCTGTCATCTTCCAAATGAATGAAAAGACATGACCGCTTGGTAGCACACAGAGGCTAGCAAAACCGACATCTGCAGCAACGATGCACCGAAATAGCGTCCCTCTTCGGTCAGCGCAACGGGCCCGGGTTCACCCCGGGCA